ACTCTATTAATAAAATACTAATTTAAAATCTTATCTAATTATATCATAATATTTTCATATCAAATTTAAAATCAGATATTAGTTATACAAAAATATCAAGATCATACAGTAAATTGTCAATAAGATTCTAGTTAAATAATTTAAAATAATTAATTTTTTAAATATATTGTTGGTAAATAATTTATTTCAAGGTTAATCAATTTTTCTCTATATTAATTATTAGTAAAATTTAATAACTTTTAATTTAGCAGTTGAATTAATGAATACATTATGAGTTATTGAGCGTAATAACTTTAGCGAGAGTTACATTGTGAGTCATTTGATTTCTCCACTCTCTCTCTTTATATATATATATATATATATATATATACACTTAAAATTTTATTGATTTTTTTAATATATGATTGTCAATTTTAATCATCTTTATTGTTACTGAACAGAATATTAAACATTTCTGATGAATGTAATTTTTCATAGAATATTAAATATTTTTTACAGATCAAATTTTTGACAAACTATTATTTGTGAGACCCCTATTTTCCCTTTTCTCTTTCGCACTCTTTTCTCACTCAGCTCCCTTTCACTCTTTTACTCACTCTTTCTACCCTTGCTGCCTTGGTCTCGGTTTTCCTTCGGGATTCTTGGGTGTAGGTGCTGATCTTGGAGTCGGAAGCTAGCTGAAGTTCCTTCCTTCCCCGCCCTTCTTTCTCTCCGTCCGTTTTCTTCTTCTCCTTTGAGCTTGTCTTCTTTTCGGAGCTCAGATTCTTAAAAAAAGATTATAAGGGATCAAAATAGGGTTTTAACCTTAAAAAAAAGTACTGGAGAAAAGTAGGAAGAAAAAATTTATACGTTTCGAAATATGTTTCGAAACATATTCTGAAACTTAAAAAAAATATATTTAAATTATAAAATATTAAATTAAATAATTATTTTATAATAAAATTATTAAAAAATATGAAAAATCGAAAATTTTATTTGACAGATGAAGCACTTATGAGACTTTTTTTTTAATATATCATTTTTTTAATTATTTAAATAACTTGAATGCATTTATATTTACTTAAATAACCCATTTAAAAATTTAGGTGAGAAATTGGTTACTAGGTAACCGATTTCTCAAAGGAATTTTTGAAATTTTTTTAAAAATTCCTTTGAAAAATCGATTACCCAGTAACCAATTTCTCACTTGGGTTTTTTTTTTCTTCATTTTTTTGTTTTCAGATTTTGTAAAATATTTTTTAAAATAAATATAGTTAATTATAATTTTCAGAATTATATATAAAATTATAAAATTTTGTATAATATTTTAAAAATATGTTAAAAATAAATAAAATGTTAAAACTCATTTATTATACTAAATTTTAGAATTATAAAATGAATTTTATTATTTAAATTAAATTTATTAAATATAGAAAATTAAAAACTGTAATATAATAATAAATATATATTAAGTACACTAATTTTAGTGGTTACATCATTAAAATGAAAATAACTTAAAAAAGACACAATTTAAACAAACTTCAAACATAATAGATAAATAACATAAAACCTAAATCATATAATATTAGTTGTCTAACTTCATTGCTTGGTTAAGGTATTTTTCAATCGCTTCCATCCCATGCAATAATCCAATATACGTCACGGTAGCATACAATTCGAGACTTGTTAGGTCGTGCAGTTCTGTGAACAATGAAAACATACATTTCACATCTTCATCATCCCTAAGACGACACGCTGTATATTTATATACACCACCGATACATGAATTTGGGTATCGGTAGTGAATATCTATGACAACTTTATAATGAGGAAGATTAAGGTTATTATTAATAACCTGCTTAAATTGCTGATAAGTCATCATGTTGCTTACCAGTAGGGTTTTAACCTCGTTGCTAACAAATGTATCTCCATGCTCAGTGGAGACAATTTTTCCATCATAGTAAACAGTGGCTGAAACAGTTAACGACTCCATTGATTAGATGTTTCAATCTGTTGCATTTTTTTAGCCTGTGTTTAGGGTTTATATAGAACTAAAGCAACCTAATGTGGAAACGCAAAGTCATTGGATTCCTAACGCTCTGCACAAAGCATTGATTTTTCTGATGCTCTAGGACAAAGTAATTGATGATACTGCACAAAGTCATTGGATTCCTGACGCTCTGGGACAAAGCAATTGATGACACTCTGCACAAAGTCATTAATTTTTCTGACGCTCTAGGACAAAGCAATTGATGACACTGCACAAAATCATTGGATTCCTTAAGTAATGAGACAAACTAATTCAAATTTTTTGCACTATATATACACTACATACGATCCAAGCCTAAACACACAACAAAAGATCAATTCTCTTCAACTATTACACTCTTCAATTTCGGTTTTATTGTTTTTCAAGAATGTCTTCTTCATCTTCAACTATGTTGTGGAAACAACACCTCCATAGGTCAAATGAAACTCATCTTATGGTAAGTTAATATATATTGCATAATGTTTACAACTAATATTATTCATTACTAACATTCCAATTCTACCATTTTCGCAGACAACAAGTGATCAAGTGATTCAATCTTACTATCATTCCATGCCTACACCTGACTCAAGAATTGAAATTGTTGGAGGTTGCTGGCTTTGGCGAGGTTGCGAAAATAAGACATTTTAAAATTGATGATTGTTTGATAACGTCTTTGGTGGAGAGGTGGAGACCTGAGACACATACTTTTCACCTCCCAGTTGGTGAGTGCATGGTCACTTTAGAAGATGTGACACTACAATTGGGTTTAAGGATCGACGGCAAACCAGTCACAAGACCAACTTTGTTTGACTGGGATGAATTATGTTACGAGTTGTTAGGCTTCGTACCTCCGAAAGGTGAAGCTCTAGTTGGCTCAAGCATAAAACTAAAATGGTTAAGAGACATACAATCGCACTACCAGATGAACCCACTGAACAACAATTGTTCCAACATTGTAGAGCATATATCTTAGGTTTGATCGGTGGTGTCATTATGCTAGACAAGTCAGGTAACAAAATTCACTTAATGTATTTACCATTATTGGCTGAATTGGAACGTGCAGGACGATATAATTGGGGTTCTGCTTGTTTGGCACATTTGTACAGAGAAATGTGTAGGGCAATCTATCCATCGTCAAAGAAAATGGGTGGATGTTCTTTTCTTCTACAGTCTTGAGCTTGGTATCGCATGCCCTCCATCCAACCAAGAGTCCAACGGGATATTACATTTCCGCTAGCATCGAGGTATGGATTAATTTTTATACCACTTTAATACATCGAACAACTAAAATATTTTACCTAAAATTTTATCAATGTACAACTGTTTTAGGTGGTCAGGAAGAGGGCTAAGATTTTCAGGCACGTCCCATGGAGACTTACTTGGCTACAGATTAAGATATGACAACATGAACCATAACGAGGTAATACAATGTAAACTTCTCTCAAACATACTCTCTTATACTCAATTGATTCATACCTTAAACCTTTTTCTTTTTCAATTTTTATGGATGCCATATAGGGAATTTCAGTCCTCACTGCCAACATGTGCTTATAAGGATTCTAGAATATGGACTGCTTGTACTGCTTTAACTTCATTTGTAGTTGTAGTCTGGCATCAAACTGATAGAGTCCAATTGCAATTTGGCTTATGGCACCCAATCCCCAATGAAGCTCATAATCTTGATAAAATGCACGAAATAGACATGAGAGTACATAGCGACACCAACTAGGCTGAACAACATGCAGATTGGATTTCCATTTGAAAAGACAGATGCAAACATGTTATTTTTGGGGAACCACTTCAGGGGCCTCTCCAACACACTCCTGAGTATTTACAATGGTTTCGTGCTAATTCTAAATTATTTCTTTGTAGCCAGTATTCTTCATCTCATGCATCCATTTCTAGTACGCAACTCCCAACAACAATTGCAACAACATTCCCAATGGCTGGAGATAATCACCCACCTTATAGTGTGGAACAACATCCCCAGTGTTATCCATCATTTCATACGCACCATGAACAATTCATGTACACCCCACCATCAACAACAACTTCAATAGGGGACTTCATGAGCAATCTTTTTGGGATCGACGTACACACGCCACAAAGTGCATATAATTACATGCAAAGCATGAATTTCTCTTCATTTTCGTCTTATCACTCTGAGGTCGGTGGAAGTGGTTCGTCAAATCCAGTCACCGATACTGTTAATATAGAACATGACGATGACCAAGTTGAACCACAACAACCACGCATTGGTCGTCGAAACCCAACAAGGAACTGACAACTTTCGAGGTGTGGAACGGGTGGGCATAGACATCATTAAAGTTGGATTGTAATTTCCTGGATTGTAATTTTGTTGTTGTTCTTTTTTATTCGATCTCCTATTTTATTGTTGTATTTTGTTTTTATTTCAAGATGTTCATCTCAATTAATGTTGTTTTTATTTAAAGTTGTGATTTATCATAATATTTTCATTTTTAAAAATTCTATTTAAAATTAATTTTATTAAATTTTATTCTTTAAAATTTATTTTAAATACATTTTTATAATCTAAAATAAAAACAAAAACTAAATCAATTTTTTAAAAATTCATTATAATTTTTTAAAAAATCTGAATATTAAAAACTGAAAAAGAAAGAAATTAGAAAATCTGAAGAAAAAAAATCACACAAAAAAATTCAATAAAATAAAACAACAAAAAAAAGGTAAATACATTTTTTAAAATTTCATTATAATTTTTTTTAAAATCTAAATATTATAAACTGAAAAACAAAAAAAAAAAA